TACTTCTGCTTTGATTGATCTAGACCTACAAGTATTTTGCTCATTCTATATAACAAAGCCCCTGTATGGCACGAAAGGGGGCAAGTGGATGACAAGTCAGCGCTTAGTCCAACAGTGTTAAACCTTTCTGAGAATTTTAAAAAAGTATCCAGTGACTTAAGTACTTGAGGTAGCTCCTGGTGCTCGGTTGGACCAGGCCTTTCAAACAAAGCCTTTAAAGATATGGCTAGTGTTGAGGTAATGCTAATGGATTTGGACCTGGAAAGTATTCTGCAGCTAACAAATTAGCAAAATGGGGCCTGGAAGCACCTTACATGAATCTAGGTGCTTGAAAGCCACTTCCAGCCAATCGCCACCATGTCCTGTTCAGTGAAGTCCAAGCTTGGAACTTCAAATGCAAAAGCTGGACTGAGTACGGCCACACCAGACCACTGAAGTCGCGTAGACCAACCAGCTGAAGTAAACATTCATCCTACTAGGACACTAGCCCAAAACTGTACATGCTGGTAGCAGGAGACATTACCTTGAGAGTTAGCCTACAGGTTTTCTGTTTGCCAATGTCCGATCCTCCCGTAGGTGGCAGGATAACTCAGAGTTGAATAACTTCCTGTATCCCCCAATGGATTAAAAAAAATAAAATAACTAGTGAAAACGGGTCCAAGAGCTAACCATCTGTGTTGCCCACAGAAACCAGATTCTCTCACTTAGTGCCCTGACAAGACTGCAATTGGTTGCTGTGGGCAACACAGGCAGACCTTCACTCTGGCACATCAGTAAATGAGACAAATGAAAAAAAAAAAAAAAAAAAAGAGAAGGAGAAGTCTTTCCAAATGAGAAACAGTGTTCTCAACAGCAACCAATCACCACCTTCCTTTCCGACCTACAGCACAAATGGAAACGAGAATGTGAGTGGTTGCTATGGGTAATGGCTCCTTTCTTGTAGATGTTGGGGAGTTGTGCTCCCCCCAATGGCTTCTTATACAGCATACTTCCAAAAATTTGTAGACACCTGACCATTGCATCTATATGAGCTTGTTGGCCATACAAAATTGTAGCAATTAATATGGAGTTGACTTTCTCCACTCTTCTGGGAGGGCTTTCAACAGGATTTCGGAGCGTGGCTGTGGGAATTTGTGCCCATTCAGCCAAAAAAGCATTTGTGAGGTCAAGTACTGATGCTGGATGAAAAGACCTGGCTCGCATTTTGGGTTCCAATACACTCCAAAGGTGTTCACAGGGTTATGGTCAAGGCTCTGTACAGGTCACTCAAGTTCCTTCACATCAAACCATGTCTTTATGAAGCTGGCTTGGCGAACCTGGGCACAATCGCGAACAGAACCTTTCACAAATTGTTACCACAAGACTGGAAGTGTAAATCTATCTAAAATGTCTCTGTATGCTGTAGTATTAACACTATCCTTCACTAGAAACATCTGAACTCTGTCAGTTGGAGAGATGTCCACATACTTTTGGCCATACCGTATTTGGTATATCTCAAGGAGATTGGTGAGATCTCACATTTGACTTCCCATATCAGCTACCCTTCCAAAATTATTAGAAACTGGTATCACTCTCCCTGCCTACACTTTCAATTAAGGAAAATCAGGAGGAAAGGGAACATACCAAGATAGAGGGGAACACCCAAAACTCAAGGAAGAATTGTTGAGACAGCAGGTGGCCTGGCCCTTCATAATCCACTATCAGTTTTAGGTGCAGTGAACTTCAGTTAGTCTAAATACCAACATTTCACTGGACGGTAAAGCCTTTGCACCCAGTCTGTTCACATTTTACAAACCCATTACCCATGGGGACAGAGCGGTAGCAAAGGTGTTCACAGGGTTACAGTCAAGGCTTTGTCCAGGCCACTCAAGTTCCTTCACATCAAACCATATCTTTATGAAGCTGGCTTGGTGCACATGGGCACAGTCATGAACAGAAGACGACCTCCCCAAACTGGAACCACAAGGTGTACATTTATCCAAAATGCCTTTGTAGGCTGTAGTATTAACTGTACCCTTCCGTGGAAACAATCAAACTCTGTCAGTTGGAGAGGAGTCAACATGCTTTTGGCCATATAGTGTATATCTGAAGGAGGTGGTTGTGGTGTGATCTTCACATTTAAATCCCCATATCAGCTTGCCTACCATAAATATCACAAACTGGTATCCCTCTCGTTGTTGGATCTTCCATTTGCTTGGAAAATCAGGAGTAACAGGAACACACCAAGATGAAGGGGAACACCCAAAATTCAAGGTAGAGAATGGTTAAGCCAAAGATGGCCTGGATCTTCATACTCCATCATCGGTTTTTAGATGCAGTGAATTTTTAGTTCGTCTAAAAAAGCAACATTGGCTTGACGTTAAAGCGTCTGTACCGGATCCGCTCTCATTTTATGAACCCATCAGGACTTGGAAAGGTAACAAGGATCAACTTCTAAAACCCACCACATTCTAGCTAGGCAGAGTTATCCTCTGTCCTATTTTACATACTGGCCTTCTCAAACCCAACAAGCTGCACAGGTGGCTTATCAACTGGACTATCAACTTTTTCCCTAACAAGTTTACAAAATTAGCACAAGCTAGTCAAAGATTAAACATTCCTTCCCACTCCCCAAACACAAGATCTTAAGGAAGATTTGGTTTCAAAGACTGACTTTAGATAAAGACATTGTACCACAGTTGCCAAGCTTAGCAACAATCAAGGTAGAGATTTGTTGAGGCAGCAGTTGGCCTGGACTTTCATACGGCACCATCATTTTTGGGGTGCTATGAACCTTTAGGTCTAAAAACCAAAGTTGGCTTGGATGTTCAATTCTACTTCTTAAAATCGCCACATTCTAACTAGGCAGAGATATCTGCTGCCCTGAATAACATATTGGCCTTCTCAAACCCAACAAGCTGGACAGATGGCTTATCTTCAACTGGAATATCCTCTTTTTCTCAACGAGTTTACTAAATTAGCACAACTAGTCAAAGATCAATCATTCCTTCCCGCTCCCCAAACACAAGATCTTAAGGAAGCATTGATTTCAAAGACTGACTTTAGGTAAAGACATTGTACCACAGTTGCCAAGCTTAGGAACAATCAAGGTAGAGATTTGTTGAGGCAGCAGGTGGTCTGAACTTTCATACGACACCATCATTTTTGGGGTGCAATGAACCTTTTATCTAAAAACCAAAGTTGGCTTGGATGTTAAAACTTCACCTGGTCTGTTCTTGGTTTACGAACCCATCAGGAAAGGTAACCAGGATCAATTCTACTTCTAAAAATCACCGCATTCTTAACTAGGCGGAGATATCTACTGCCCTAAATAACATATTGGCCTTCTCAAACCCAACAGGCTGGACAGGTGGCTTTTGGTCAACTGGAATATCCTCTTGTTCTCAAGGAGTTTACTAAATTAGCACACTCTAGGCAAAGATCAAACATTCTTTCCCGCTCCCCAAACACAAGATCTTAAAAGGAAGATTTGGTTTCAAAGACTGACTTTAGATCAGTGGTTCTCAACCTTCCTAATGCCGTGACCCTTTAATACAGTTCCTCATGTTGTGGTGACCCCCAACCATAAAATTATTTACCCAGTAATCATAATTCATGAGTGTCCTTTTACCTCCAATACTGCTGCTTTCAACACAGTAGCTGCTTTTAACAGAGTAGCTGCTTTCAACACAGCAGCTGCTTTCTACACAGCAGCTGCTCTTTACACATCGGAAATATGTGTTTTCTGATGGTCTTAGGGGACCCCTGTGAAAGGGTCGTTCGACCCCCAAAGGGGTCGCGACCCACAGGTTAAGAACCACTGCTTTAGATAAAGAGATTGTACCACAGTTGCCAAGCTTAGCAACAATCAAAGTAGAGATCTGTTCAGGCAGCAGGTGGCCTGGACTTTCAGTTTTGGGGTGCAATGAACCTTTAGGTCTAAAAACCAAAGTTGGCTTGGGTGTTCAATTCTACTTCTTAAATCGCCACATTCAAACTAGGCGGAGATATCTGCTGCCCTGAATAACATATTGTCCTCCTCAAACCCAACAAGCTGGACAGATGGCTTATCTTCAACTGGAATATCCTCTTTTTCTCAACGAGTTTACTAAATTAACACAACTAGTCAAAGATCAATCATTCCTTCCCGCTCCCCAAACACAAGATCTTAAGGAAGATTTGTATCAAAGACTGACTTGAGATAAAAGACAATGTACCACAGTTGCCAATCTTAGCAATCAAGGTAGAAATTTGTTGAGGCAGCAGGTGGCCTGGACTTTCAGTTTTGGGGTGCAATGAACCTTTAGGTCTAAAAACCAAAAGTTGGCTTGGATGTTCAATTCTACTTCTAAAATTGCCACATTCGAAGTAGGCGGAGATATCTGCTGCCCTAAATAACATACTGGTCTTCTCAAACCCAACAAGCTGGACAGGTGGCTTAACGTCAAATTTTTTTCAACAAGTTTTCTAAAATTAGCACAACTAGGCAAAGATCAAACATTCCTTCTCGCTCCCCAAACACAAGATCTTAAGGAAGATTTGGTTTTCAAAGACTATCTTTCGGATACAGAAGAAGTACGGCAGTTGGCGAGCTTAGCAACTCTTTAGTGTGTGGATGGTTAAATGTATTATAGAGGATTATGGGAAAAGACCTCATCTCAAAGATCTCCCGCTGTGATCAAATCAATGTCCATCTTCAACCGGAACCAAGCAGCGGCACCCTCGCTCCATGCAATGAGTTTCACCGAGCTGTAGCAATAAGGAAAATGCTTTAATAACCATTTCAAGTCTTTTTTTGTTGTTGTTAGTACAGTTAATAAGGCGTTCTGATTGGACGATAGGGCTTCTCCACAGGTTTTAACAAGCATCAGTCGATAAACCTAGTTCTCTAGTGGTCTTCCATGCTTTCGGCCAGGAAACACGCCAGGACTTTAAATACAGCGCTCCAACTAATGAAAAATGGGAAGTCTTCCCCACCCCCCTCGCCGTGTCTGCGTGCCGCCTGCCGGGAGAGACCGAAATCACATGATCGAGCACTGCTCTGCACTGGCGCTGTTGGAATTCAGGTTCAATCCGTCGAGATCGAAATTCAAGCCGGGGGGCTGGGAAGAAAAAGAAAAACGTCATTGGAAGAGAAGGTTTTCTAGAGCACAGACTGAGAATGTTGGCATCAGTATAGGAAGGGGTTCTTTGTCCATCATGGACCTTTTTCTTTTTATATAAAATCTTTGATTTCACCTATTTTCATCCTTTGTTGCTGATCTCCCACAGCTTCCTTGCCACCACTTCCTTCCTGACTACCCAGACTAGCAGCAATGGCTATATGGCAGTACTCACAAGTGGGTTTCCTGATGGTGACAGCAATCATGGCCATGCCTGTAGAATATATGATAAAATTGGCCAGTTGTAGTCTCCATCAGTAGCTTGGGTGACAACGCTGTTCCCTGGAGCTGTGCTCCTGCATCACACAACTCCTGGGACACAGCGTGGTCACCCTGTAACAGGAAGTGCCTGAACAATGATCTTTGTAGGATCACTAAAGGATTATTTTAACCACTTCCCTTGCAGCCAATGTACATAAATGGCCAGACGGAAGCAGTGCAGGAACGAGTTGCGGTTTATAAAATGGCGCCCACATTTAGATCCGGTGCCCTGCTGTGTCCTCTGGAACACCAAACGCTGTACGGGACCTCTGTGTGAGGTTGCAATCATGTGATTGGCACAATCAGTGATCACATCAATAGCTTCCTGGGAGCACACAGCACCACGATCCAGTGCCCGCTGTGTCCTCCGGACACAGAGGAACACCGATCGTTGTACGGGACCTCTGTGCGAGGTCCCGATCGTGTGATCACTGATTGGCCAATCAGTGATCACATGAAGAGTACTAAGCAAGATGTCACTTCTGATGACATTGCTTACTACTAGTGAAATCTGTGAATGATCACAGAGATCACATGGTACAGTGCTATTCACAACAGCCTTGTACCATGTGACAAGCTGTGACCAATCACCACGATCGTTGCTCGCTGTGTGTCCTCTGTAACACAGATCGCTGTACGGGACCTCTGTCTGACAAGAGGGTTGTCACCTACAACAGGAAGTTCCTGAACAAAGACATTCACAGCAGGATCGTCAGGACTTATTTTAACGATTTCACCTACTTTCGTCCTCTGTTGCATCTTAGTGCGGCTGATCTCCTGCAGTGTCTTTTTGCATTACCTGTCTACATGCACTCCAGCGATGGCTGCATGGAATTTCTCAGAGCGGGTTTCCTGATGGTGACAACAGTGGACCATGTCTCTGTAAGGTGTGCTAACCCAGCCACTTGTGTTCACGGACGCTTGTGAGACAGGATGACAACGCAGGGGCACAGCTAGGAAATAGGGACAGGGGGTTGTCACCCTATAACAGGAAGTACCTGAACAAGGACCTTCATAGGATCACTAAGGATTATTTTACCAAATGCTTGCTTTACCCCTTTTTTATCCTTTGTTGCATCAAGTGCCTCTGACCCTCTGCTGCATCAAGTGCCACGGACCCTCTGCTGCATCAAGTGCCACGGACCCTCTGCTGCATCAAGTGCCACGGACCCTCTGCTGCATCAAGTGCCACGGACCCTCTGCTGCATCAAGTGCCACGGACCCTCTGCTGCATCAAGTGCCACGGACCCTCTGCTGCATCAAGTGCCACGGACCCTCTGCTGCATCAAGTGCCACGGACCCTCTGCTGCATCAAGTGCCACGGACCCTCTGCTGCATCAAGTGCCACGGACCCTCTGCTGCATCAAGTGCCACGGACCCTCTACAGCCACTTTCGGTCTACATGCACTCAAGCGATGGCTGCATTGAATTTCTCAGAGCGGGTTTCCTGATGGTGACAACAGTGGACCATGTCTCCGTAATGTGTGCTAAACCAGTCAAATGTGGTCACAGAAGCCTGGGAGACAAGGTGACAACGCAAGAGCACAGCTAGGAGAGAAGGACAAAGGGTTGTCACCCTATAACAGGAAGTGCCTGCATAAAAGGAACTTCATGGCAGTATCAGCGGGGATTTCATTTGATTACAAACTGCAAAATTTAAAAATGACTTTTGAAAGCTTGAATGAAGAAGTTTTTAGGGATTGAGGATTCTCACCCTTCCCGGCTCAGGGATCTGCTTTACTTTCAGCTCTTCCAAAATGACACGAGGGCCCCGGGCTCCCCCAGGCAGACGTCGGAGCGGGGAGGGAAATCAATCCCGACATGACATGGTTTGTAAACAGGTTACGCGGGGAAGACTCGCAGCCAAAGAGCCAAAAGTGGTCACAAGATCCCAGACGTCTCGGTGACACAGAGCAGAGTCACAGGCTTCAAATAGAAATTATGTACAGGACGGGGGTGGGGATTCAAAACCGGAGGGGGGGGGGGGGGGGGCGAAACAGAATTTTTGATTGGCGCTATGATACACTTCAATGTGCATCTCCGACAAATACAAGCAGCGTCCAATCACAGCTGTATGTACTCGAAGGTCAGGACGGGCAGGTCAGCGGGGCCACAAGAACAGGAGACCCTGAAGGAAAACATATCAGTTTCAGTTTTATTTTAGGTTGTGTAGGACTTTCTGGACCACGTGTCAAACAGAAGGCCCGGGGGCCGAATCTGGCCCCCCCCCAGGCCAGTTCATGGGGCCCTCGCAGCTCTCCAGCAGTTGCAGCACCCCCCTCATCTTTTCTCAGCAGTCAGCAGCAAAGGAGGAGGAGGACAGAACGTCTCCGTGCAGCTGCAGGGAAGATTGTCTCTGCTACCCCCCCCACCCCCGGTCGCAGCAGCCGAGAGAGAGGACAGAAGTTCTCCGTGCAGCTGCAGGGAAGATTGTCTCTGCTACCCCCCCCCCCCCCACCCCGGTCGCAGCGGCCCGAGAGGAGGACAGAAGTTCTCCGTGCAGCTGCAGGGAAGATTGTCTCTGCTACCCCCCCCCCGGTCCAGCCCCGGTCGCAGCGGCCGAGAGGACAGAACTTCTCCGTGCAGCTGCAGGGAAGATGGCCTCTGCTACCCCCCCCCCCGCCCCCCCCCGAGTCGCAGCGGCCGAGAGGAGGACAGAACTTCTCCGTGCAGCTGCAGGGAAGATTGTCTCTGCTACCCCCCCCACCCAGGGTCGCAGCGGCCGAGAGGAGGACAGAACTTCTCCGTGCAGCTGCAGGGAAGATTATCTCTGCTACCCCCCCCCCCCTTCCCCCCCTGCCCCGGTCAGCAGCAGAGTGGACAGAACTTCTCCGTGCAGCTGCAGCGAAGATGGTCTCTGTGTCGGCTCCCCCCCCCCCAACCCCAGTCGCAGTGGCCGAGAGGACGACAGAACTTCTCCATGCAGCTGCAGGGAAGATTGTCTCTGCTACCCCCCCACCCCGGTCGCAGCGGTTGAGAAGAGGACAGAACTTCTCCGTGCAGCTGCAGGGAAGATGGTCTCTGCAACCCCCCCCCCCCCGCCCCAGTGCAGCTGCAGCGGTCAGCGGCAGAGAGGATAGAACTTCTTCATGCAGCTGCCGGCAAGCTTGAGTCCGCTACCTTCCCACCCCCCAATCGCAGCGGTCAGCGGAAGAGGGGAGGACAGAACTTCTCCGTGCAGCTGCTGGGAAGCTCATCTTTGCTCCCCCCCAGGTCACAGTGATCAGTGGCAGAGAGAATAGAACTTCTTCATGCAGCTGCCGGGAAACGCGAGTCTGCTACCCCACCCCCCAATCGCAGCGGTCAGCGACAGAAGGAGGACAGAACGTCTCTGTGCAGCTGCCGGGAAGCTAGCCTCTTCTCCCCCCCCCCCAGTCACAGCAGATAGCGGAAGAGGGAACAACAACAGAACTTCTCGGTGCAGCTGCTGGGAAGCTCGTCTCTGCTACCCCCCCAGTCGCAGCGGTCAGTGGCAGAGAGGACAGAACTTCTCCGTGTAGCAGCAGAGGTGCAGATTGCGCTCCTTTCCCCCACAGCAGCCAGAGAAGCACAGTTCATGTTATACAAATCACATCCGGGTTCTTTGCAGCTAGGGGAGATCAGCGAACAGACATTCCCTGGTTTCCCTCCCCTCCACCAAAGGACACCCATCATAAAGGTCCTGGGAGCACAGAACCCGTGAAGCATGGCGGTGCGCTCTCCGTCTGTCGCAGCAGCAGCTGAGCTCAGCGTAGCTTCAACTGGGGGAGAGAAGGAGCATTTTTTGGTAAGGCTTCAGTGAGCACACTCAGTTGTCCTCGGTGGAGCTGAGCTCCCTCCTCGCCACTGCAGTGGTCACAAAGACGGGATTTTTTAAATCAGGGTGGGCGGAGCCTAATGGGCATTCATAGGCACTAGTGCCCCTAATCAGGTCTGCCCCTCTTGTGATGGACATCAAACCACCAATCAGTAGGGGGAGCTCCTGGCTTGCTTTCAGCACAGAAACCTTGTCCGCCCAGCGACACATATTTGCAGCAGTCGTAAAGAGGTCGAGGTTCCATTTCCTACACGCGGTAACTTACAGACTCTCCAGCCAGTTCTTTAGGTGGGTGTCCCAATTCTTGAAGCTGCAGGAAGGAAATAAAATAAGAAAACACACTGAAGAAAAAACAAAAAACAAAACAAAAACCAACCAAAAACCAACCAGCCAACCAACAACCAACCACCAACCAGCCAACCAAACAAACCAGCCAACCAAAAACCAGCCAACCAAAAACCAGCCAGCCGACCAAACAAAAACCAACCAGTCAACCAAAAACCAACCAGTCAACCAAAAAACCAGCCAACCAAAAACCAGCCAACCAAAAACCAGCCAACCAAAAACCAGCAACCAACCAAAAACCAGCCAACCAAAAACCAGCCAGTCAACCAAAAACCAACCAGTCAACCAAAAACCAACCAAACAAAAACCAACCAACAACCAACCAACCAACCAACCAAAAAAACCAACCAACCAGCCAACCGATGATAATACAGTACAAAACATGCTAGAAAAACAAAATCTGTCCACCAGACTCCACCTGTAACTGAAATATCTGAGTGGACGTAGGCTTTAAGGAGTCTAAGTGGACCGGGACTGTTGGCCGATGAGCTCCCTACCTGCTGCATGAGGTCCATGACCGTCTCGAACCTGGCTGCCTCTTCACCTGGCTGCTCGGACTCAAATGTCTGGCAGATCCTGCTCATGAGGTTGTGCTGCTCCTGGTATTTCTGGTACTCCTCAGGGGGCAGAGATTCGCGGTGCGTCTGCAGCCATTCTGGGTACTGCGCAGGAGGCGGAGACACAGGCGTGAGAAAGGACATGAAGATGGAGAGAAGGACCTCTCTGACCTTCCCTCTAGTCTTGCACAGGTGTACCGGCTCCTCTCCTGGACTGAAACGGCTTACTCTGATCTCAGCGCACACTGTGAGCTTCTCACAATGTGCATTAGAAGCTGCAGCCAGTCAGAGAGAGCTCTGCCTCATTTGCTGGCTGGAGGACAACCAGTATCATCTAGCGCTTTCCTCCCCCAGCCTGACTGTCCATGGCCTTGCCCCTTTCATTCACTGGTTTTTTAGTTCTTACAAAACAGAGGATCAGCGTCACATGTGGGTGTTACCTATGCAAATGCGCCCTGACTAGGAATGTCCACTCTCCCAGACTAACACCCACCCATCAAGGCATTTTGTAATTTGCATAACTCCGCCCCCTGCCTACATCAGGGCTGAGGGCTCCTGAGAGGTGTATGGAACTGGGTTTCTGTTTCTCTACGCAATGCACACAGATCATAGCTGCCGGGAATGTCCAGCATAGTGCTGTCCATAGCTTCCCGAAAAACACCATAGCACCCTACTGGCCCCGCCCACCAGCCATGATCTGCCTGCACTGCATAGAGAAGCACAGGGACCCATTAATGACATCATTGCTACTTCTACAAGGTTTGGAAAAGCATTTGGTGCACAAAGTTGATTTATGTCCCTTTCTGGCCACTGCGGAACAGGTGTAATAATTGCGTCCAAAGTTGAGTTTTAAGCACGTTGCAACCCAAAGGGGCGGACTGCCTCCCCAGCCTTCAGTTTGTTACACCGGCCCTACTGCCGGTCACCTCCTGCACAGAAAACCACGCCAGTGCCAGCAGATCTTTAGAGGGCCACAAGGAAGACTCACCTTGTCTGTGATCTCTTTGAGGGACGGATACAAGACTTCTTTGGTCAGCAGGCTCTGCATAATATTCTGCATCAACGGTAAGATATTTCCGTCTCCATCCGCGTCGTCCACTGAGAGACCTTCCATTGCCCGAGCCAATTCCTCCTCTGATAGGCTGGGGTTCTGAGAAGAGAACAAGGAAGATTTATCTGCAGGGGAAGTAGAACCATACAAAGTTATGGTGAGAACAGACTGCAGGAATCAAGAAGTCCTCCAAGCCCTTCCCTGTATAAACCATACGCTGCACTGATGAAGCCCAACAAGCCTGAAACCGCTGTATGCAGTATATATACACACAAAGAGGAAAGAGGCGACATATACCTGGGCAGATCATTAGAAATACGGACAGTATTAGAGTGAGAAGGGACTAAAGAAACCGAGAAGCCCTCCAAACCCTACAATGTAAAAACCATACACTACACTGATGAAGCCCAACAAGCCTGAAACCGCTGTATGCAGTATATATAAAGGGGAAGAGGAGGCTCCATATACCTGGGCAGATCATTAGAAATACAGACAGTATTAGAGTGAGAAGAGACTAAGACTGCATTCACACTTCAGTGATTTGTAACTTGAAGCTCGTAGCTCCACAAACACTCAAACTTCAAAAATCAATTGTCCTCTATGGTGCCGGTTTGCATGATCAGGCATTTGAGCATTTTTGGAGCTTCAAGCTACAAAAATCGCTCAAAATGTGAATGCAGAGTAAAGGAACCATAAAGCCCTTCAAGTCCTACCCTACAGAAGCCATGGTTTCCATGCACTGCACTGATGAGGGCCAACAAGCCTGAAACCACTGTATGCAGTATGTGTACAGGGAGGGAAGAGGCTACATACACCATGATAGATCACCTGAATTACTGACAGTGTTGTGGTAAGAACAGACTAAAGGAACCAAGAGGTCCTCCAAGATCTACTCCATAGAAGCCATGGTTTCCATCTAGCACACCGATGGTGGCCTACAAGCCATGTTCTAAATGGAAAAACATGGCTTCTATGGAGTGGATCTTGGAGGGCCTCTTGGTTCCTTACACATACATACATATGGAAGAGGCTCCATACACTCAGACAGATAATCAAAATTACAGATAGTGTTGCGGTGAGAACAGACTAAAAGAACCAAGAAGCCCTCTAAGTCCTACCCTACTACAGAAGCCATGGTTTCCATGCACTGCCCTGATGAGGGCCAACAAGCCTGAAACCGCTATATGCACTATGTGTACACAGAGAGAGAAGAGGCTCCATACACCCAGACAGATAATCAGAATTACAGATAGTGTTGTGGTGAGAACAGACTAAAAGAACCAAGAAGCCCTCCAAGATCTACTCCATGGTTTCTGTATAGTGCACCAATGCTGGTTGGTTAATTGGCTCCTGTCTAAATTGTCCCTAATATGTGTATGTATGAATGTGAGTTAGGGACCATAGATTGTACTCCCCTTGAGGGTGAGGGACCTTAGATTGTACTCCCCTTGAGGGTGAGGGACCTTAGATTGTACTCCCCTTGAGGGTGAGGGACCTTAGATTGTACTCCCCTTGAGGGTGAGGGACCTTAGATTGTACTCCCCTTGAGGGTGAGGGACCTTAGATTGTACTCCCCTTGAGGGTGAGGGACCTTAGATTGTACTCCCCTTGAGGGTGAGGGACCTTAGATTGTACTCCCCTTGAGGGTGAGGGACCTTAGATTGTACTCCCCTTGAGGGTGAGGGACCTTAGATTGTACTCCCCTTGAGGATGAGGGACCTTAGATTGTACTCCCCTTGAGGATGAGGGACCTTAGATTGCACGCCCCTTGAGGGCTAGTTGCAATGCTCTGCAGGTTCCAATACTGAAAAAAAAAATTAAATGCATGTTTTATATTTTATCATGGGTGCATTTATGAATTTATTTTTTTTGAGGAAAAAAAAAAAAAAAGAAGAAGTGGAATATGCCTTTAAGAGGGACACAGAGCCAATGTGTAACCAATGGGAAACAAAATAATGTATTGTATTATTACTACTACAGGTACTTCTATAGAATGTTTTTATTTCTTTTTTCAAAATTCCTACCTGCAAGTCGTTGGCATTCTTGGCCAGTCCGGACAGTGTCTCTTTCAGGCAGGAAGTAAACTCTTGCTGGGAGGTTTCATCGCTTCCTATCAGATAAATGAAGATAATTTATATCAGAGACCGATCCATCCAATATCGGTCATACTACCGTCCAGAGTCAATGAGGCAAGTAATCAATACATTCATTGGAGCAATGATTATCAACCTCATGCCTGTTTGGGCTTTTGAAGCATCCACTGTGCCCAGTGATCAGGGCAGCTGATAGAAACCATGGGGCCGCAAACAGCTAATCCGACAGCCCGCCCCCTCAAAAAAAACATTTATAAAAAAAAAAAAAAAAACACTTCAGGGGCTTGGATCCCCCCACACATCACGAGGCCTTGGATCCCCCCCCACATCACGAGGCCTTGGATCCCCCCCACATCACGAGGCCTTGGATCCCCCCCACATCACGAGGCCTTGGATCCCCCCCCACATCACGAGGCTTGGATCGAGGCCTTGGATCCCCCCACATCACGAGGCCTTGGATCCCCCCCACATCACGGAGCCCTGGATCCTCCCCACATCACGGAGCCCTGGATCCTCCCCACATCACGGAGCCCTGGATCCTCCCCACATCACGGAGCCCTGGATCCTCCCCACATCACGGAGCCCTGGATCCTCCCCACATCACGGAGCCCTGGATTTGCTCCCCACATCACGGAGCCCTGGATCCTCCCCACATCACGGAGCCTTGGATCCTCCCCACATCACGGAGCCTTGGATCCTCCCCACATCACGTAGCTTTGGATCCTCCCCACATCACGAGCCTTGGATCCTCCCCACATCACGAGCCTTGGATCTTCCATCACGAGCTTGGATCCCCCCACACATCACAGGACTACATTGGGGCATCTGTTTGGGCAAATTTTGGCCTCTCTTTTGTCTGCTTTTAACCTCCTTAACTGCTCAGAAGCAACCAAGACGGGTGTTTATTCACCAACCAACAACAATTGGTCACTATACTTTTTTCATCTGGAACGAACAATGGCTTGGCGTTTGCTACCAAACTAGATCTGAGGTATTCTCGGACAGGCGGCTTCCTCCCTGGTGTACAGAAAATCTCCTTTGTGTATCCAATCACTACTGATCTTCACGTCAGGTGCTGCTATTGAACAGAGTGCTATCATCGACTGGCATTGTTGCTCAGTTTTTCCACTTTCCCTGAAGTGGGTCCCCATCCCGCAAAACGCGTCGGATCTTTTGATTGAATATCCAGTTTTGGATTCAATTTTATGGAAAAGCATTTTTGGTTTCTAGTGGAATTGCCACCCCACCACCTCAAATTATCACACCCAATGGTCCATCATTTGGGTAGTCTATATGAATTTAGATATTTCCACTAATTACCAGGATCCCCACCACTATCACGGGCTTGGATCCCCCCGCCACCATCACAGGCTTGGATCCCCCCCACCACCATCACGGGCTTGGATCCCCCCCACCCACCATCACGGGCTTGGATCCCCCCCACCACCATCACGGACTTGGATCCCCCCGCCACCATCACGGGCTTGGATCCCCCCCACCACCATCACGGGCTTGGATCCCCCCGCCACCATCACGGGCTTGGATCCCCCCCCCCACCATCACGGGCTTGGATCCCCCACCACCATCACGGGCTTGGGTCTGATCCCATGCTGTGTGAAAGCACAAGCACTTCTTATCTCAAAACACTTTGATAAGTGAAGCTCAAGAAGTGTGTTGCACCGAAGAATCAGAGTTGCACTGGAAGAGGACAGTCAGGCAAGAAAAGGAAGAACGGCATTGGCTGATACGGAAAAAAATGACTGTGTATTTTACACATCGAGAAAAGAATCTGAATTTCATCGACCCCTTAGTTTCACTTGATTTCTCTGGACACTGAGTAAGAGTTCCCTGAAGGGAGGACTTCTGAACGTGGCCTGTTCTCAGTCTGAATCCCTTGGCCTCCATATTAAAGGGCAACCTCACATTCTTCAAGAAGGTCACTACCCACCCACTTTTCCAGCGACCTCCGACAGCTTTTGGAACTGCTCCACCAGATGAGGTTCCTCCTCAGCCAGCTCCTTCATGGCTTTCTCAAATTCCTCTGAGGCCTGGGCTGCCAACTCGCTGCTGAACAGCTCCTGGAAGAACTTCTCCTGAGACGCCAACAGGGGATCCTGAGAAAACAAAGGACTTCAGTTAAGGTGGAACCAGAGGGACAACCATTGCACCAGAAAACAAGAGAAGAATATGTATGACCTCTGAACCTTTACATCAGCCAAACTCCAGATTTACACCAATCGTCTTTTGTGATGAGCCAACATTTATCGGTTTCACTGAGAACCATTACCCTATGGCGGCCAATTCTGGTGTGTTCACGAGTGTGTGGTCTACGAAGTTGTAACTCCTGCCAAAGCTTTTTTTTTTTTTTATTATGGATAAAGAAGATTAGGATAAGGACTCCTGCAAGGTTTTACTGTTGTCTGTGTTCATGTTGGCCATCGGGACAGGTGATGATGAGAGACTCAACAGTAAAAAGAAGAAAAAGAAAGTAGAGTAAAGAAGGATTAGAAAACCTTCATTGGCTTTTTTGCCCCTTATCTGTGTCTACATTCTGGAGGTCCTTCTCTTCTCCTGCACTGGTGACCACTGTCTCTGGAATAGGAAGTGATGTCAAATCTCCCCCCTTTTTTTTTTGTATTAAATATAAGGGAGATTTGACATCACTTCCTATTCCAGAGACAGTGGTCACCAATGCAGGAGAAGAGAAGGACCTCCAGAATGTAGACACAGATGAGGGGGAAAATACCCTGAGGAAGGTTCTAATCCTTCTTTACTCTCTCTTTTTTTTTTCTACTCAACTTTTTTTCCTTATATTTAATAAAGAAAAAAAAAAAAAAAAAAAGGAAAAAAAATAGAATAAAAAGACAGTAAAGAAGGATTAGAACCTTAATCAGGGTTTTTTTCCCCTCATCTGTCTACATTCTGGAGGTCCTTCTGATGAAGGTTCTAATCCTTCTTTACTGTCTTTTTATTCTACTTTTGTTTTCCTTTCTTTTTTTTTTTTTTCTTTATTAAATATAAAAGGGAAAAAAAATGGAGTAAAAAAAAAAAAAAAAAAAAAAAACAAAACAGTAAAGAAGGATTACAACCTTAAACAGGGTTTTTTTTCCCTCATCTGTCTACATTCTGGAGGTCCTTCTGATGAAGGTTCTAATCCTTCTTTACTGTCTTTTTACTCTACTTTTTTTCCTTTTTTTTTTTCATTATTAAATATAAGGAAAAAAAGTTGAGTAGAGTAAAAAAAAGACAGAGTAAAGAAGGATTAAAACCTTCATCAGAAGAACCTCCAGAATGTAGACACAGATGAGGGGGAAAAAAAAACCCTGTTTAAGGTTCTAATCCTTCTTTACTGTCTTTTTATTCTACTTTTTTTTTACCCTTTTTTTTTTCTTTATTAAATATAAGTAAAAAAAGAGTAAAGAAGGATTAGAACCTTCATCAAGGTCTTTCCCCCTCATCTGTGTCTACATTCTGGAGATCCTTCTCTTCTCCTGTACTGGTGACCACTGTCTCTGGAATAGGAAGTGATGTCAAATCTCCCTTTTTTTTTTAGTTTTTTTTTTAGTAATATAAAAGAGTAAAAAAAGAAAGTAAAGAAGGATTAGAACCTGCATCAGTTTTTTTCCCCCACAGCTGTGTCTACAATCTGGAGATTCCTTTTCTCAGTGTATATTGGTGACCACTGTCTCTGGAATAGGAAGTGATGTCAAATCTCCCATATATTTGGGGAAAAAAAAAAAAAAAAAGAAGGGTGTTTACCCTTCCCCACTCCACTCCATTCAGCCGCCACCTGGGACAATCTCACGTATTTCACCCAAAACTGGACTTAAATCATACACCCTCTATGACTAAGCCCCGTTTTGTGCAAAAATTCGAGGAGCAGAACACTAGAAGTAAAAGTCATAAAATAGGGGAGGATTGTTACTGTCCTGGAGGATTCCTTAAAGGATAAGTTCACCTTTGGGAAACATGTTACATGTTCCACCCTAATAGAGTGGAACATGTAACATGTTCCCCATGCTGCAGCCACTGACTAGTCCCCCCTCCCCGCGACAGAAGTTCCTTGTACTAGCTGTCAACTAGCTCCGCCCACATGCCCACGTCATTCACTCACAGTATTTGGTGAATGAATGAACTACTAGTCCCGACAGCCTTAGCGGTTGTCAGCTTGTAGTTTCTCAATGAACTACCACAGTGCCATTGTAGTTCATTGAATCTTCCAGTCAGTAGATCTGCTTGCCTGTATATCCCATATGGACAAGCAGATATACGGACAGGACTGCAGGAGACCTGCATGGCACCACAGATCTGCTGATGGCTGGTGCGATGATTTACAGGATCCCGAATCCAAAAATATTAAATGCACATTTTTTTACCTGTAAAAAAACGGGCATTTATTATTTTTGGTTAAAGGGTGAACTTTAAAAAGAAGTTCTCCAGTAATAACTTGTGTTTTCCAAAGTCATCCTCTAGGACAGTCACGTGAGAGGTCCTCAAAGATGTATCATTCGGGAGACACCAAAAACCATCAAAGGCATTAAACAGCAAACAGATTGAACCTCCCATTTGAGGTTAACTCCAGTAAAGTCCAATGCCAATTGACTCGTATGATACCAATGATCTTTTTGATGGATGGCATTCTTGACCATCACTGTATCACTGTAAGGGGGGGGGGAAAGGTTACCAAGGTAAAGGATACTTTTCCCACTGAACCCCTATGAACTGGTTGTTGCAAGGGTTCCCAAGATCTGAAAGTTATTTCAAGGCTTCCTCTGGGGTAAAAAAACGGATGAGAGAAGACTTAGACCCTTTGGAATGCTCTCACGTGAGGTTCTCCAGATGGTTCCCATGCAGGTTTCAAGAGAACGACCCCTGAAGGACCAGTGAATCAGCTGTTCTTCAAAAAGAAAAGAGCTGCTCTGGATCTAAACCACAGAGCCATGAAGGACTGCAGTGTGCATGCTTAGACCCTTTGGAATGCTCTCATGAGGTTCTCCAGATGGTTCCCATGCAGATTCCAAGAGATGACGACCCCTGGAGGACCAGTGAATCAGCTGTTCTTCAAAAAGAAAAGAGCTGCTCCCGGATCTAAACCACAGAGCCATGAAGGACTGCAGTGTGCATGCTTAGACCCTTTGGAATGCTCTCGTGAGGTTCTCCAGATGGTTCCCATGCAGATTCCAAGAGATGACGACCCCTGAAGGACCAGTGAATCAGCTGTTCTTCAAAAAGAAAAGAGCTGCTCTGCATCTAAACCACAGACCCATGAAGGACTGCAGTGTGCATGCTTAGATCCAACCACAGCGCATAGTTTGAACCACATGCTCCATGCTTTCCACCACCTGAAGGCTGGTATGGCAGTGCAGAGCTCTCCCAAGATGTTAAATGCACTTGGGTAAATCCTTATGCTCTTGTGAGGTTCCAAGGTAGATGAGGTTCCAAAAGACGAATACCCCTGAAGGACCAACGAATCAGCTGTTCTTCAAAAGAAAAGAAGAGCTGCTCTGCATCTAAACCACAGAGCCATGAAGGACTGCAGTATGCATGCTTAGACCCTTTGGAATGCTCTTGTGAGGTTCTCCAGATGGTTCCCATGCAGGTTCCAAGAGACGAAGAAAACCCCTGAAGGACCAGTGAATCAGCTGTTCTTCAAAAAGGAAAGAGCTGCTCTGGATCTAAACCACAGACCCATCAAGGACTGCAGTGTGCATACTTAGACCCTTTGGAAAGCTCTCGTGAGGTTCTCCAGATGGTTCCCATGCAGGTTCCAAGAGACGACGACCCCTGAAGGACCAACGAATCAGCTGTTCTTCAAAAGAAAAGAAGAGGTGCTCTGCATCTAAACCACAGACCCATGAAGGACTGCAGTGTGCATGCTTATGCCCATCATGACAACCACAGCGCATAGTTCCCGAAAGTTGAACCACATGCTCCACATATCCATAAACACACCCATACCAATGACTTTCCACCACCTGAAGGCTGGTATGGCAGCTACACAAGAGCTCCATATACCCAAGTTCCCGGTACATCCTTCAGTTAAATGCACTCCAGGAAGGAGCTGGGTAAATAAGAACATGACTACCACACCAAATGTCAGGGGCCCTGCCTGGTGTTTGACGTCTGACTCAACTCCAGCACCTCCGGGCGCACTGAGATACTGGCGAGCGTTAGGTTCTGAAGATCACCATCACGAGCAGTAACAGAACACTCATGTAGACCCGCTACATCATATTCTGCTATGAATGCTGCATATTAAAGATACGTGTTGCCCCCCCCCCAGTCAAGGCTCCTCACCCCTGTGGCCTGCAAACATCCTCCCCCACCTATCTCTTCCTCCAGATTCTGCCCTTCAGTCCCAACACGGAGCCATCAGAGGGCTGAGACACAAAAATGTGGATCCCCCATTGGCCTCCAGAGTCTTCCATACACTAAAAAGAGAAACATGGCCGTACCTTGGCAGCATCCTCAGGCGGCCTTTCGGGACCGGAGGGTTTTGTAGTTTTGTCTGAGGACGGAGGTGGTTGGCTGGTCTTCTCAAAATCATCCAGTGCACCTGCCAAGGCGAAAAAAACAAACAAAAAAAACAGTGATTCCAAATCCAACTACTTGGGTATCTAACCAAAAATTAGACCAATAATGACCACTTGTGAAAAACTTCCTTCTAATTCTGGGTCAGTCTTTTTTTTAATTTTTCCCCCTAAGCCACCTTCTGGGCCTACAACTATTTTTCAGTGCCACAAGCCCCTTCTCTTGAACCCTGCTTGTATCTAATGACCTCCCTTGCACAGCCTAGGCGGCTCCAAGCACCTCCCATGCAGAGTCCAAGTGGCGCCAAGAACTTCCCTCATGCTGTAATGGTGACTGATAACCTCCCCTGCAGAGTCTAAACCTTCTCCCATGGGGGGGCTCAGGGAACCTCCCCTGCAGAGTTTACGTGGCTCGGAGCACCTCCCTTGCACAGACCATTTAGCTTGAAGTACTACTTTGAACAGCCTAGGACAGGGGTGGGCAACTGTGGTCCTCCAGCTGTTGTAGAACTAAAAGTCCCATGAGGCATTGCAAAACTGACAGTTACAAGCATGACTCCAAAAGGCGGAGGCATAATGGGACTTGTAGTTCAACAGCTGGAGGGCCACAGTTGCCCACCCCTGGTCCAGGAGACTCAAAGCACCTCCCCTACCAAAGTTCAGGTAGCTCTAAGTAGCTCCTTTGCAAAGCACAAATGGCTCCCAGCAGTCTTGAAAAGCCGAGGTGACTCCAAGCACTTCCCCTGCAGAGTCCACAAGGCTCTGAATAACTTCTTTGCACAGAACGCCTCCCCCGCACAGGCCAGGCAGCCCCCCAAGCGCCTCTCCCCGCAAAGGCCGGGCAGCGCCCCCCCTCCCCGCACAGGCCGGGCAGGCCCAAGCGCCTCCCCCGCACAGGCCGGGCAGCTCCAAGCGCCTCCCCCGCACAGGCCGGGCAGCCCCAAGCGCCTCCCCCGCACAGGCCGGGCAGCCCCAAGCGCCTCCCCCGCACAGGCCGGGCAGCTCCAAGCGCCTCCCCCGCACAGGCCGGGCAGCTCCAAGCGCCTCCCCCGCACAGGCCGGGCAGCCCCAAGCGCCTCCCCCGCACAGGCCGGGCAGCCCCAAGCGCCTCCCCCGCACAGGCCGGGCAGCCCCAAGCGCCTCCCCCGCACAGGCCGGGCAGCTCCAAGCGCCTCCCCCGCACAGGCCGGGCAGCCCCAAGCGCCTCCCCCGCACAGGCCGGGCAGCCCCAAGCGCCTCCCCCGCACAGGCCGGGCAGCCCCAAGCGCCTCCCCCGCACAGGCCGGGCAGCTCTAAGCGCCTCCCCCGCACAGACCAGGCAGCTCTAAGCGCCTCCCCCGCACAGACCAGGCAGCTCTAAGCGCCTCCCCCGCACAGACCAGGCAGCTCTAAGCGCCTCCCCCGCACAGACCAGGCAGCTCTAAGCGCCTCCCCCGCACAGACCAGGCAGCTCTAAGCGCCTCCCCCGCACAGACCAGGCAGCTCTAAGCGCCTCCCCCGCACAGACCAGGCAGCTCTAAGCGCCTCCCCCGCACAGACCAGGCAGCTCTAAGCGCCTCCCCCGCACAGACCAGGCAGCTCCAAGCGCCTCCCCCGCACAGACCAGGCAGCTCTAAGCGCCTCCCCCGCACAGACCAGGCAGCTCTAAGCGCCTCCCCCGCACAGACAGGGCAGCCCCATGCTCCTCTGCACTGCTCACTCAGGAGCCAGAAGACAGCAGGTGTTCCCAGATCAGGTAGCAGTTGTCAGACTTCACCCCCAACTCCCAGCTCCAGAGTGAGCCTCTACATAAGGGATTGGGGGGGGGGATAAACCTCAATCTTTCAATATATGGGACCAATTCTCCTCAGGGACGGCCACAGGGGCCACAGGTTCTTGAAATGACATCAAAAGCCCTTTAAAAGGAATGGAGCGGGCCATGACCCCGACACAGGAGGGGATAAAGCCTGCACAGACCCAGGGAAGGTCATCCTTGGACACCCCAAAATCTCACCCAGCAGCAAAGTCACCCCACATGTGCCCAGCCCCCCCCATGCCCCCTATGGGTAGGAGTGTGCATGGCATGGCCTCCAACAGCAAAACCTCCCCAATGAGTTCACAATGTGCTGCCTGTCTGTGTCTGGGGAGCCAGCTGGCAGTGCAGGGGTTAAAGTCCACCTGGGGTTAAAGGAACTCCCCCCTCCCCCCCAGATCCCACCTGCCGGGAACGGGAGGGGGGGGGGCACAGCAAGAGCACTCCCCATGGCTTCCTAACCACGTGACCCCCCCAGCCTCCCCCTTACTGTCCAGCAGATCCTCCAGCTCCTTGTCCTCTCCTCCAGCCTCAGCCATCTTTACTCCCTTCTGCAGCCGGGGAGGCGTGTCCAACAACGTCAGCCTGTGCCGGCCAATGAAGAGCGACAGAATGGTAAGGGCACCAAGGCCGCTGCGGGCGGCGCCATTTTAAAAGTTAGAGGGGAGGAGCCTGAACTGGTGACAGGTGACCACGTGTGACACTGACAGCTCGGGACACTCGTGTCATGTGATCGGGGGACACCCTGTAACCGTGGCTGGAAAGCGGAATCATTCCCGATTTGTATAGGAATACACTTTACATATTTATGTATTTACTTTATTTATTTATTCATTTGTTTCATGCACTTATTTTTTTCTCGAATTTTTATTTATCTATTCTATTCATTTATTTTATCGTATTTATACATTTAATTCATGTATGCATTCATTGTGTGTGTGTGTGGTTTTTTTTTTTTTTACTTTATTTAATTTTATTATATTTATTTGTTTTATAGGTGTATTCATTTATTTTCATATTTAGTATATTTATTTATTTATTTAATTATTCATTTATTTTACTTATGTATTTATTTTTTTATATATATACTTATTTATTTATTATTTTTTATTTATTTGTTTGTTTGATTGTTTTATACATCTATTTTTTTCAATCATTTGTTTTGTTTATTTACTTTATTATGTTTTATGTATTTATTGATTTATATTAATTTTATATATTAATTTATTTTGTTTACATATTTATATATTTGTTTGTTTTTATAGATATATTCATTTATTTTATTAATATATTTCTTATATTTATTTATTAATATATTTTATGCACTCTTTATGCATTATATTTATTTATTTTTTTCTCTAATTTTTATTTATTTATTCTATTCATTTATTTTATCGTATTTATACATTTAATTCATGTATGCATTCATTTTGTGTGTGTGTTTTTTTTTTTACTTTATTTAATTTATTATATTTATTTGTTTTATAGGTGTATTCATTTTTATTTTCATATTTAGTATATTTATTTATTTTATTTACATATTTATTTAATTATTCATTTATTTTACTTATGTATTTATTTTTTTTATATATATACTTATTTATTTATTATTTTTTATTTATTTGTTTGTTTGATTGTTTTATACATCTATTTTTTCATTCATTTGTTTTGTTTTTTTTTACTTTTATTATATATTTTATGTATTTATTGGTTTATATTAATTTTATATATTAATTTATTTTTTATTTACATATTTATTTATTTGTTTGTTTTATAGATATAGTCATTTATTTTATTGATATATTTCTTATATTTATTTATTAATTTGTTTTATGCACTCTTTATGCATTATATAGTTATTTTTTTCTCTAATTTTTATTTTATTTATTCTATTTTTTTATTTTATCGTATTTATACATTTAATTCATGTATGCATTCATTGTGTGTGTGTTTTTTTTTTTTTACTTTAATTTATTATATTTATATTTATTTTTTTATAGGTGTATTCATTTATTTTCATATTTAGTATATTTATTTATTTTATTTACATATTTACTATATTTATTTATATTTATTATTCATTTTATTTTACTTATGTATTTATTTTTTTTTTTATACTTTTATTTATTAATTATTTTTATTTATTTATTTTTTGATTTTTTTACTTCTATTTTTTCATTCATTTGATTTGTTTTTTTTTACTTTATTATATTTTTATGTATTTATTGATTTATATTTAATTTTTTTATATTAATTTATTTTGTTTACATATTTATTTATTTGTTTTGTTTTATAGATATAGTCATTTATTTTATTGATATATTTCTTATATTTTTTTTTTTTTAATTTTTTATTTTTTTATCTTTATTATATTATATAGTTTTATTTTTTTTTTTTTTTTTATTTATTTATTTTTCATTTTTTTATCGTATTTATTACATTTAATTCATGTATGCATTCATTGTGTGTGTATGTGGTTTTTTTTTTACTTTATTTAATTTATTATATTTATTTGTTTTATAGGTGTATTCATTTATTTTCATATTTAGTTATATTTATTTATTTTTTTACATATTTACTATATTTATTTAATTATTCATTTATTTTGCTTATTTATTTTTTTTTTTATATACTTATTTATTTATTATTTTTATTTATTTGTTTGTTTGATTTTTTATAAATCTATTTTTTCATTCATTTCTTTTTTTTTTTATTTATTTATTATATGTTTTATGTATTTATTGGCTTATATTAATTTTATATATTCATTTATTTTTTTGTTTGCATATTTATTTATTTGTTTGTTTTATAGATTTTTTATTCATTTATTTTTTTTATATTTCTTATATTTATTTATTTATTTTGTTTTATGCACTCTTTATGCATTATATATTTATTTTTTTCTCTAATTTTTATTTATTTGTTCTATTCATTTTTTTTTATTTATATTTATACATTTAATTCATTTTCATTCATTTGTTGTTGTTTTTTTTATTCAATTTTTTATGTTTATTTTTTATTTTTTTTTAAATACTGTATGTATTCATTTCTTTTTCATATTTAGTATATTATTTTAATTAATTTACATATTTTTTTATATTTATTTTTATTTATTCATTTATTTTTTTAATTTTTTTTTATATATTACTTATTTTATTTATTTTTTTTTTATATTCATTTTATATATTAAATTTATTTTGTTTACATATTTACTGTATTTATTTTTTTATTTATTTTTTTTTTTATAGATATATTCATTTATTTTATTGAAATATATTTCTTGTCTTTATTTATTTATTCAATTGTTTTTATGCACTCTTTATGCATTATTTTTTATTTTTTTCTAATTTTTTTTTTTATTTGTTCTATTCATTTATTTTATTGTATTTATTTTTAACGCATGTATGCATTCATTGTGTTTTTTTAATTTAGTTTATTATATTTATTTGTTTTATATACTGTATGTATTCATTTATTTTCAGATTTAGTATATTTATTTATTTTTTTTATTTACTATAGTCATTTCTTTTTTTATTTTTTTATTTATTTATTTATTGCTTTTTTATATACATATTTTATTTATTTATTTATGTATTTTTTTGTTTTTTTTTTATAAATATTATTATCATTATTATTATTATTATTATACAGGATTTATGGCGCCAACAGTTTGCTCAGCGCTTTATTATAATGGGAGACAATACAGCAACAATACAGTTCAATACAAGAGGGATAGGAGGGCCCTGATCCTGGGAGCTTACAATCTAAGACTTATTTTATTTATTTATTGTTTTTATTTATTTTTATTTATTTTGATTGTTTTATACATCTATTTTTTTTCCATTTGTTGATTTTTTTTTCTGTTTACGTTATTGAAATTTTATGTATTTATTTTTTTATATTAATTTATATATTTCATTTATTTTGTTTACATATTTACTATATTTATTTATTCTATTTATTTTGTTTATTTTTATATATATTTTTCATTTATTTTTATTGGCGCTGCACATTCCAATTATTTGTATTTTATTGACATATTTTTTTTTATTTATTTATTCATTAATTTTGCTGATTTACTTTTATTTAACCGCTTGCCTACCGGGCACTTATACCCCCTTCCTTTACCAGGCCAATTTTCAGCTTTCTGCGCTGCCGCAATTTGATTGACAATTGCGCGGTCATGCAACATTGTACCCATATGAAATTTTGATCATTTTTTTCTCACAAATAGAGCTTTCTTTTGGTGGTATTTTTTTTTTTTTATCGCCACTGGGCGCTTTACTTTTTGCGCTATAAATAAAAAAAAGTGCAAAAAATTTGAAAAAAAAAAAAAAAGTTTTTTTTCTTTTTTATAAAATTTTTCAAACAGGTATTTTTTTTTCCTTCACTGATGTGCGTTGATGAGGCAGCACTGATAGGCAGCACTAAAGGGCACTGATAGGCAGTACTAATGAGGTGGCACGGATAGGCGGCACTGATAGACAGCACTAATTAGGGGTCACGGATAGGCGGCACTTTAATATGCAGCACTGATAGGCGGCACTGATATGCAGCACTGATAGGCGGCACTTTTTAGGTGACACTGATGATGGGTACTGATAGACGGCACTGACTGGCATCACTGCTGGGCACTGACTGGCGGCACTGACTGGCACAACCCCTGGGCACTGACTGGTGACACTGACTGGCAGCACTGGTGGGCGGCACTGGTGGGTGGGCACAGGTGGGTGGCACTGGTGGGCACAGGTGGGTGGGCACAGGTGGGTGGCACTGCTGGGCACATGTTAGGTGGCACTTCTGGGCACAGGTAGGTGGCACTGCAGAGTGGCACAGGTGGGTGCACTGCTGGGCACAGGTGGGTTTTTTGGTGGACACAGGTGGGTGGGCACAGGTGGGTGCACTGCAGAGTGGCACAGGTTTTTTTTTTTTTTTGCTGGGCACAGGTGGGTGCACTGATGGGCACAGGTTTTTTTTTAGTGGGCGCACTGCTGGGCGGAACTTGCGGGTGGCACTGCTGGGCACCGATCATCAGGGCAGTGATCAGTGCCCTGATGATCGGTGCTGATCCCCGCTCTGACAACTGACGGTCCTCGGCAGTACTTTCCTCACGATTCTGACAGCGTGAGGAAAGTGCAGCCGAGAAACCGGCACTTGCATTTCCTTCTGATCAGCGTGTCATTGGACACTGCTGATCAGGTGGTAAAAGGCCGCTGTGATTGGCCTTTTACCACCATCACGTGATCAGCTGTGTCCTTAGGACACAGCGATCACGGATATCGCCGGTGCGCGCCCCCCTGGGGCGCGCAGGGGAGCGCGTTCTGGGAGGACGTCATATGACGTCCACTCAGAACTGGCCGGCCGCAGTTTTTTTCATTTATTTCTTTCTGCGGTTGGCAACTAGTTAATTTATGTATATATTATATGTTCCTAGCTTGTAAGCTGCAAGGAGCAGGGCCCTGGAGCCCCTCGTGTATTTTATTGTATTGTTACTGTGCTGTCTCATGTATTGTCTCCCCTTGTAATGTACAGCGCTGAG